ATAAAGAATTTACGTTAGCACATTTCTCAACAATTTACATGTCACAGACTTAATTATATATTTTACATAACCTACTATCCTAAAAGGTGAAAAATTACATTGGAAGTAAATATTGACCTTTACATTGATTACTAGTTTATGTAATAATAATAGATACAGACCAGCCTGCCTAGTTGCGGCTAATATAGCTGGACTTTTCGGTCCAAATCCGATAGCATTAGCTGCTCGTATAATAATTACATATGAAGTAAATGGAATCAGATCTTGTATCACTATTGATCTTGTAGACCCGTTAACTTGAATCATCCCATTACTATTCCATTGAGTCGAATTATAACTTATGTTGAATGCAGTTATAGTACCAATTCGATCAGATATATTTAATGGCTGCCATGAGACTTGGACAGCAGTAGCTGATAAAGCTGAGACAGTAATATTCTGAGGATACGATCTAGGTTCTATAATTCGATGATCACGTTTTAAATGAAACAATTAAGTATATTATTTATGTATTACTACCGGGTAGAGGTAGCATTCTTGAAAATTTAGTTTTGTATTTTTTTATAATTAAGTCATATTACCGTCTTAATTGAGAACAACTAGCAAATACAATATTACTGTATAATATCTTACCCGATTGATGTGTCAAGACTGACACGAATGGACTAGTAGGACCGAATCCGACTGATGTAGAAGCTCTAACTGTCACATTATACGTAGTGTAAGGCAGCAGATTAGATAGCACGTTAGATAATGTTAAGCCATCGACTTGGATTATACCGTTGTGATTCCGTTGTAAGGAATGGTAACTAATATTGTAAACTGTAATAATGCCATTACGCTCGAATAATGGTATTGGCTGCCATGAAATATAAATCGAGGTCGATGTTAACGTTGTTACATTGATATCTGATGGATAGGTATTAGGTACTATAAACAAAGAATCAAGCACATTGTGAGCATCATCGATCTATTTTAGAATTTACTCTAGATCAAGAACTTTATTTTACTTTATTACGGAGTACACTAAATTCACAGTTAATTAAGTGTATTTATTTGATTTAAGATCGAATAAGACTAGTAATCTTACAAACTTTTATTGTATTATAATCTATATAAATTACGTCGTATTACCGTCTTAATTGATAACAACTAGCAAATACAATGTTACTGTATAATATCTTACCCGATTGATGTGTCAAGACTGACACGAATGGACTAGTAGGACCGAATCCGACTGATGTAGAAGCTCTAACTGTCACATTATACGTAGTGTAAGGCAGCAGATTAGATAGCACGTTAGATAATGTTAAGCCATCGACTTGGATTATACCGTTGTGATTCCGTTGTAAGGAATGGTAACTAATATTGTAAACTGTAATAATGCCATTACGCTCGAATAATGGTATTGGCTGCCATGAAATATAAATCGAGGTCGATGTTAACGTTGTTACATTGACATCTGATGGATAGGTATTAGGTACTATAAACAAAGAATCAAGCACATTGTGAGCATCATCGATCTATTTTAGAATTTACTCTAGATCAAGAACTTTATTTTACTTTATTACGGAGTACACTAAATTCACAGTTAATTAAGTGTATTTATTTTTTGAATTAAGATCGAATAAGACTAGTAATCTTACAAACTTTTATTGTATTATAATCTATATAAATTACGTCGTATTACCGTCTTAATTGATAACAACTAGCAAATACAATGTTACTGTATAATATCTTACCCGATTGATGTGTCAAGACTGACACGAATGGACTAGTAGGACCGAATCCGACTGATGTAGAAGCTCTAACTGTCACATTAT